GGCAATTTACAAAGAAAGGTGATATTATGTGCATCCTAGACAACATGTGGCTTGTGCAAATCAGCTAAGAAATTAAGTATCTTCTTTGACGGGTGAGTTTCGAGGGGGAAAGATAGTGAATCTACTGTTACCAGAGGAAGTCAAACTTTTAATATGGTGTTCGTATTGTAGTATATTGTTGATAAAGGAGGTGCTTATTAAGAAGAAGAATTGTGTTGGATTGTTATTGCCTTGTACGTGGCCATGAAGGTGAAACTAGTATTCATACTCTTAAAGAATGCCCTTTTACACAGATAGTGTGGATGGCTTCTACCTTGACCTTGCGAGCTAAGGAGATATATGTAAGGGGCTTTATAAAGTTCTTTGACATGGCAGCTAGACAATTCGATGATAAAGGATAAGAATTCCCTTGTGCAATTTGTTGGTTACTCTGAGCCAATCACAATGATCGATGTTCTATGGAACAATAATAGGAACCTACCTACTCAAATAGTTGTGGATGCAGAGAGATATATTAATGAGTATAGGGTAGCTGTGTGTTGTGTAAGGTAAGATAGAGGGATAAGGCAACAAAGATATGCATTGTTAAATAATGACCATTGGATCAGACATACTATAAGTTAAATGTTGATGTTGCCCTTTTGAACAAAAAATCAATCTTAGGGAATGGAGGTAGTGGTTTGTATTTGTAATGGAGAGGTTATGGCAGCCATAACGAGTAGGGGCCATGGAATATTGTTATCTATTGAAAACATTGAGGCATCTACTTTGCGTAAAGCTCTACAATAGGTAGAGGAGGGAGGTTTTATGAGGCTACTAGTTGAAAGTGATTGCTTTTATGTGGTAATTGTATCCTTTAAAAGCCATAGGTTTTACACACAAAGCTAGGGGGAGTTCTACGAGATTGTAGAGATTTAGTGGCACGATTTAAAGTTATGTAAGTTATAGCATATAGACGAAAGGGAAAAAGAGTAGCAATATGTAGCACATGAATTGGCACAAAGTGCGGACCTCATAGAAGAAGATGAATTTTGGGTTGAAGAAGTCCCAGGGACCATTATACAATTTGTAATTGAGGATATTACTACTGGTATGGAATGTTTTTAGCGTGCTTTTAAGCATATGAAATTGAACCAAATTTTCGCCAAAAAAAAAAAAAACGAAAAAGAAAAAGAAAAGAAAAAGGAAAAACCCTGTACATTAATGAGTGAGAGAATGCAAACGCGGGTGAGTGATGATGGCATGGGTCCTACGCACCTGTCTCAGCAAACTGGTATCTGGATAGCCTCGTTTCCCGAACCTCCAGATCTTAGGTGTGACAATTTTCCCCGTTTCTTGCGGGGATTTTTGTTATGGGAATGGAATGAAAAGAAATATTTTTTTTGTTAAACGAGGACGGAAATTATTTTCTCCTAAAATTTTGTGAGAAATTTTTCTCGTCAAGGGTAGATCCTTACCAAAAAAAAAGTTTTTATTTTAAAATTAATTTATTCTTTAAACTCAAATCTAAACTCAAACCTAAATCTAATCTAATTACAGTTAAATTTAACCCAATGCTATCAAATCCAACCCAACCCAACCCAACTCTCAACTCAACTCATTCCCCTACATTTAACCCTAACCCTAATTTATTTTAATTCTCATCACTTACAATCTCACTCTCAATCTCTTTGTTTGCGGCTCACCCATTTCTCACCTCCATCTCACCTTCAATTTCCTCTGTTGTTGCTGCTGCTGAAACTTGTTGTCAAATCCATCTCCTTTGCTACTGTTCAAGCCATCTACTATGTTGTTGCCGGATCCATTTGCTCTGCTGCTGCTAAAGACATTTACTTTGCTGTTGTTGCTGCTGAAGCTTGCTGTCGAATCCATCTCCTCTGTTGCTGCTGAAGCCATCTACTTTGTTGTTGCCAAATCCATTTGCTCTGCTGCTGTTGCTGAAGACATCTGCTCTACTGCTGTTGCTGAAGCCTGCTGCTGAAGCCTGCTACCGAATCTATCTCTTCTGTTGTTGCTGAAGCCATTTGCTCTGTTGCTGCTGGATGCATCTGCTCTACTACTGTCGGATCCATCTGCTCTACTGCTGCTGCCGCTAGAGCCATCTGTTATTGCTACCGCTGGAGCCATCTCCTATTGTTGTCACCAAAGCCATCTGCTTTGCTGCTACCAAAGCAATCTGCTCTGCTACTGTTGCCAGAGCCATCTGATACCAATTGATGGGGAATGGGGATCCCCGTCCTTGTTATTCGTGGAGACGGGGATGGGGAGGGAGTCATTGACAGCACGAAACAACTTAAAAGTACAAAATTTTAATAACTTTTTATTAAAAATACTATAATATCATTTTTTAAAGTATGAATAAAATTATTTCAGTGCTTTTTTATGGTATTTTATTAAAATAATAAAGTGTTATGTGTTTTATTGCCTAAATTTTTTAAAGTTTAGTTAATAAATATTAATTTTTTTTTTAAAATTACTCAAAATGA